CATATTGTTTTTTTTTTAGTTGGCTAAAGCAGGCCTAGAGAGATGCTCAGTTAAGAGCACTGGCTGTTTGTGCAGAGGACCTGGGCTCAGTTCCCAGCACCCACATGGCAGCTAACAACCATCAGTAACTCCAGTTTGTGGCCACATGGTCTTAAACATCCAAAAGGAAAGTATAACTAAAGCACTCACTATCATCCAGATAATCAACTTTAGCCAATTAAAAAAAATATTTTTAGCCGGGCATGGTGGTGCACGCCTTTAATCCCAGCACTCGGGAGCCAGAGGCAGGCGGGTCTCTGTGAGTTTAAGGCCAGCCTGGTCTACACATAGGACAGCTAGGGCTACAAGGAGACCCTGTCTCAAAAAGACCAAAAAAAAAAAAAATTATTTTATGTGTATGAGTGTGTTGCCTGCATGTAAGTGTACCCATATCATGCAATGCCCGTGGAGGCCAGAAGAGTGCACTGGATCCCCTGTAACTGGAGTTACAGACAGTTGTTAGCTGCCATGTGGGTGCTGGGAACTGAACCCAAGTCCTCTGTAAGGGCAGCCAGTGCTCTTAACTGCTGCACCATCTCTCCAGACCCCCTTTTCTTAATTTTTAAAGTCAGCTGCCATTTCTTAGGGACTTAGGAGAAGTCCTGTGGCTCATTTAGTATTTCCTTTACCAGTTGTGCCAGCTGCAGGGATGGGTCAGGGTCCATGTGGGTTCCTTTGGAAGCATATGGAATATATCCCTTTCCATTGACCTTCCTTTCTACAGGATGTGTATTGGTTATAGTCCAATGTCTAGAGATCCGTGGCCTCTCTGATAAAGAGCACAAAGGATTTACCAAAGGGGTCCTACCCTGTGTCCTGGCTGACCTGAAGAACAGGAGCCAAAATATTTGCTGTCCTTGTTGACCCTCTTATTCTCACTGATATATGCCTCCAAGCTTCGGTTGTTGAAGATTCAGAAGACCTGCTTTATCAGTCTTGGAATTTTAATTTCTGTGTAACATTTAAAGTTTACACAACAACAACAACAACAAAAACCCAACAGTCCTAAGTAAATCTTGATTTTATTATAACTCAGTTTCTCCAAGTGGCTAAAACCTAACAAACCTAAAAAAACCCACAATTATCTTGATTAGACATACTTTTTGTTTTTAAGTCCATTCTTATAAATATCACCATGAAGCCGGGTGTGGTGGCCCATGCCTTTAATCCCAGCACTTGGGAGGCAGAAGTAGGCAAATCTCTGTGAGTTTGAGGCCAGTCTGGTCTTCATAGAGAATCCAGGTCAGCTGTGGCTACAAGGAGACCCTGTCTCAAAAAGAACAAAATAAGTAAATAAATATATATTTATATATAAATATATATTATATATTAATATTAATATATATTATATATATCACCATGAGTAGATCAATATAACCTTAGGAACTTTTAAACATATATCATCCTTGTTTTATTTTCCATAAACCTTGTATAATTTGCTTAGACCTTTTGCGATCGCACTTTAAGTATTAACCCTTTTTACCAAAAAATAAAATTCATATCATTTTTTGGAGGGGTCTTTTTGAGACAGGGTCTCTCTGTAGCCCCAGCTGGCCTGAACTTGCTATATAGACCAGGCTGGCCTCGAACTCACAGAGATCCACCTGCCTCTGCCTCCCAAGAGCTGTGACTAAATGCATGTGCCATCACGTCTGGCTAACTCATACCATTTTTAACATCTTAAATCTATTTATGCAATTTCTTTTTTATTTTATTCTTCAAAATAAGAGTTGAATTTAAAGTACATACATGGTACAGTGTAACAAACTAAGACCACCTGTATACATGTTTTTAACTGCCAAGCTTTTTTTTTTTTTTTTGTCTGTTGTCTCAGGCAAACCTCCTCCATGCTTGAATTAGAGAAAGTTTTACATGTTAAGTTTTGGGGTGTTTTTTTGGTCTTTTTAAGATAGGGTTTTTCTGCAGCCCCAGCAAGCCCGGAACTCACCATATAGACCAAGCTGACCTCAATTTTACAGAGATAAGCCTGCCTCTGCCTACTGAGTGCTGGGATTAAAGTGTACCATCACACCAAGCTTAAGTTTTACATTTTAGCAAAAGCCTATCCAGATATTAATGACCTTGATCAGTGAATACTCTTTGTAAACAAGAAAAGGCAGAAGGGAGAGAAGATAACAGAAAGCCAAAAATCTTTACATGTTAACCCTGTAATTGCAGTTTAAATACAGAAATGCGTTCCCCTCTTCCAAGCAGTTGGTGCATGGGAGGCTAGGTTTCTATAGGGTGCATCATCATTCCCTGTATCAGCCCATGTGTCCCTTTCAGTTTTTGTAAGAGTCACTTCTTCAAAACAGAAATGGTATCTTGAAGATCCTGCTGACTATGCCAATTATGTTTTGTATGGTCCAAAGAATAATCTACCACAGTCACATTTTCAGTTTTGAATGAGTTAATTTACTGAGAGGGGGCAGAACATCACATTGGGTACTCCTAACATCCAGCATAAACCAACTGGGGAAGCCCCTTTAAGGCAACCAGCTAGAGTTTCCAATAGAGAGCCCCTCAGGTGGGGCTGCCAATCAAAAGAACAAAAGATGGAGATAATATTGTCAAATCAGACTGAGATAGTCAGCTGGAGTTCCTGATTTATCTTTTTCACATAGCTGTTTCCCCATGGTTGAACTTCCAGCCTGCCTGGTACACATTTAAGATTCTGTTCCCTGCTGGTTTCCCAGTCTGTCCCTCCTTCATCCCACCATGCTGACCTGACCTCTGAGGCAGTTGGTGCCTCTGTGCTCTCCCAGATTAATGTCCATTGCCTTTGGCTTGAATCTTTTCAGACCTTTTGTGAATCTGATGGAGCTGATATGCACATCAGCATACTCCTGCAGTTTGGGAGCAAGGGCCAGTAATGCCGGGAACCCCAGTTGATGTCTGTACCGTGTATCTGAAAGAGAAGTGAGCTTAGCAGCCTTATTGTCCCAAGTTGGCTGTTCTGTGCTCTGCCTGCTGTCGGCCAAAGTATTTACCAAAAGCAGCCACCTTTGATTCTGTGGGGTGGGTGCCCCACATTTGGAACCATGTCTAGACATTCCTGCCATCTAGACTTATTTATTTTTAAATATTTTATGTATTATTTTATCATTTTTATTTGCAGGAGTACATTGCCCACATGAGTGCAAGTGTACCTGTGCCGTGCAATGCCCGTGAAGGTAAAAAGAGGGTGTTGGATCCCCTGTAACTGGAGTCATGGACAGACAGTTGTTAGCAGCCACGTGGGTGCTGGAATTTGAACCCCGGTCTTCTGCAAGAACCACTAGTGCTCTTAACTACTGAGACATCTCTGCAGTCCCAGCCATTCAGATTTTTTAAGAATCTTGGACAAAGGCAGTTGTCTATTACTGGTTCCCAAGGTCCATGCTGCCCAAATTGCCCTCACCTCTCAGCAATCCCAATACCACAGACTGGGCACCAGCTCTCCCCTTTGCAACTGTGTCTCAGATGCTGATACCTGTCTACAAAATCTAGGGTCATCTGCTCTATCTGTGGTTCTTGGGGATATCCATGTTTACCTGATTCTTGGGGGGTCTGAGCCTGGGAAGGGTGAAAAACAAGTCTCTTCTCTCTGGAGCCCATGCTTGCATATCATTTAGCTGCTAGATCTAAGCCCTGGTACTTTTTTCTGGACCATGGCTAGGTAGGAAATTGGACCTTTTTGAGCATTTGCTCAGAGTCTACCCAGGCTCTTCAAACCTTTCAACTATGCAGTGAAATTCACCCTTTTAAGGTGTTTTCCAGACTGGGGAGCAGGGGCCTTAGTTTGGGGCTGGGAAGGCACTTACAAGTTGGCCCACCAACACTGCCACACCAAGCCTTGCCTCTTGGGAATGATTAGAATGACAGTCCCTGGTGAAGATGCAGAGTCACTGAGGAGTTAGGAAGTACTACGCCTACTAGAGGCAGGGAATAAGACGTGGTTTGATCAGGGCAGGGTAGAAATGGTCACCCTGAGAAATGCTTGTATGCAGCCAGTAGCTCATACAGATCACCATTCTGCTCCGAGTCTACTCCCTCTGCCTCTGTCCCTTATATGAGCTACATGATTCAGTGCACAGAAAGGTGTCAGCACTGGTTTGGCAGAGCAAACTGCTAACAAATGCTCACTTTATTCATTTACACTACGCTGCTGGGCTCACCCCTCCCTCCCTGCCCCTGCAGTGAGTGGAACCTAAATCTGTGGGCTACAGCATGTCTGCCACAGAGCCCAGACCGAGATGAACTCCTTCCATCCCTGCCACTTCCCTGTCCCCACAGGCCGGTGACTTGCTGCACACATAGGTAAAGCTGCTAGCTTTTGAGATCTCCTTGAACGATATGGATTCAAGTTGCTGAAGATGAGTGTGGGCCAGAGCCTGGAAGGACTCATGAATACACCGCCACCCTCCAGTGATGCCTGGGCCCATTCTCCAGGATGGCACTCCCTCTATACCAAGGAAAACAAGCTGTTTTTGTTTTTGAAAGACTTCATCCATCAGCAGTAAAGATTTTCCCATATTTCCTGTGTTTTCTTGCCTGTCTGTGGAGAACTTCCTGCAGGGCCCTTGTCTTGATGGCCTGCTTCCCTGGGTGCTGCCTCTGCCTGTGACTTCAGTGGCTTCTCAGAGGCCTCCATGATCACTTAATATGATGGTTAAGTATTGTCAACTTGACAGAATCTAGAATCAAAAGGAGATGGGCCTTTGAGTAGGCCTGTGGGGGATTATCTTGATTATTTTAATTGATACTGGAAAACCCATGTTGATTGTGGGGAGGGACATTTCTTGGGCAGGGGGTACTGAACTATATAAAGTGGAGAAAGCAGCTGAGCACTAGCAATGCATTTGACACTCTCTGCTTCTTGACTGTAGATGTGAAGTGACCAGCTCCCTCAAGCTTCTGTGACTCCCCTGTCATGATGAACTGTAACCTGAGTTGTGAGCCTCAATAAAACCTTTTTCAAATTGCTTTTGTCAGAGTATTTTATCACAGTAACAGGAAAAGAAACTAACACCTAGAGATGAGGCAGTGATAGCAGAGCTCTAGCTGCCCTCCATTGTCCTGTTCCAAAGACAGGGGCAGATTTGTGGGTGTTGGCACTGACTTTGACTTTATTGACACTGACGTCACAGCTGCCCACTGGGAAACTCCAGGGCAGCCAGAATCTCCTCAGCAAGCAGACAACTGGTGTTCCTTGAAGAAGACGAAGCCCATGCTGTTGTTGACTTGCATGAGTGGCTCAGACAAGGAGGATGACCAGATGGCTGTCCTCAGCTTATGCTTCACTCTAACTCCCCCGGTAGGTGGTGTAGGACCATGGGCTCAGCAGCAGAGGCACATGAAACTTCTGGGTCTCCTTTGCAATGGTGAAAACCACCTAAGACAAGCAGAGACGGCACTGGAAGACATTGAAGATAGTGAGTCCTCCCTGTCCCTGGTTTTCCAGATGTGAAAAAGGTCAGGTGCTTTGACTGCTGCCTAGGAGAAAGTATTATGGTTTGAATATGAAGTGTCCCCAGCAGAAAGTGGAGTGAGTGGGCCTGGTTGCCAGTTGATGGGTTTGGGGAAGTGACTGGATCCTGAGGGTTCTGACCAAATCAACTGGTTAATCCCTTGATGAATTCATAATATGATGGCATTATTATGAGGTAGTGAAAGTTGGAGGTGGGCCCCATGGGAGGAAGGTCTCTCGGTGATATCTTAGGGAGTGATTCCCTGACTTTCTCTTGTGTTCCTTTCTGTTTCCTGTTCACCATGAAATGATAGCTCTCTTCTGTCAAATGTTCCCAATACAATGGTGAGTGCATGGAGGGCCTGAAACAATGAGCCAAAATAATTAAGTTGTTTGTATCAGTGATGTAGAAGTAACCAATATACCCAGTGATCTGGAGTCTGGGATCAGATGAGAACCTGCCTATAAAGGAAGACAAGACACCCTCGGCCTCGTCTTTCCCCATCACCCATCTGATCCAGGGGAAGCTTAGATGTGTCATCATGAAGCATAATGATGCTTCAGGTCCCTGGACATCTGAGAGCTCAAAGAAGGTGAGTTTAACTACTTACCACTACCCTGGGAGAGGTGGGGCCAGTCTGTCCGTGGCCTGGAAGAGGAATGGCTATAGGACCTGGTTTGTGGTCAAAGTGAGTCAGAGCCCACCTGTTGAACCCATCTGTGGCCCTCACCTCTACATATGGGTAAAAGCTCTCCTGACCCCTCTCCTTCCAGTAGTGCTCCGTGTTGAAGGACAGCTTATAGGTGCCTGGCTTCATTTGGCCTGGTGTCAGGAGTCCAGGGCAGCGACCATCCAGGTTTGTGTAGCTGGGGAGATGACAGGGTTGGGAGGAGAGCTGAGGAGCCTCCCCTAGGTTTCTTAGTCTGCATGCCAGCATGAGATAGGCTTATATAGCACTGGCTGGCCTGGAACTTCTTATGTAGACTAGGCTGGCCTTGAACTCATAGAGATCCCCCTGCTTCTGCCTCCCTAGTGCTGGTACTAAAAGCTGTGCCACCACTCCTGGCTTCTATTTAGGAAATATAAAGCAGAGAAGCAAAAAGATATCCCTGCCCTCAGCTTTTGTGAAGGATTGAACTAGGAGGGGATGAGCCATACACTCATACCTGAACCTTTGGAGTTCATCCCCCTAACCCCCACCCTGCTCACACTTGCAGGGTAGAAAGGAGGAAATAGGTGAGCCTGCCTTCCTCAACTAGTGAAAACTTACTCACTTGGCCAACTCCCAGGTCACAACTCTGCCAGCCTGGGTTAGGCAACCCTGAGATGGGAAGATCCCTGCCTCCTAGCAGCGCATGGACCAGGGCCTGAGCCTGGGGTCACTGAAGCTGAAAGGCATAGTACTAGGCCACCTCATCCCTGTTATTTCAGCCTTCCTTTCTGTAAAAGAGGTAATCACAATGCTAACTCACAGTTATATAGAATAGAGAACAGATATAAAGTGTTTAGCATACAGCCTGATGCAAAGTCACCTGTTAATCATGGTGGTATGGGGCCTTTAAATTCTACCAGTCTGATCCAGGGGCAGCTTAGATGTGTCATCGTGAAGTATAATGGTACTTCAGGTCCCTGAACATTTGTGAGCTCAAAGAATGTGAAATTATCTACTTACTACTACCCTGGGAGAGGTGGGGCCAGTCTGTCCCTGGCCAGGAGGAGGAAAGACTATAGAACCACCCTTGGATCAGGTTGGCTCCCACCCTAGCAGGCCTACTGGGCTGAGGTTGACAAGCAAGGCCCCAACAAAGCTGTCCCAGATACTCTACAACATTGTCTTAGCTATGCACATCTGATGAAGCAGCTACTGTCACCGTCCCTGTTATCTCAGATAAGGAAACTGAAGGTCGAGAGTCAATTGTCAATAGTCTAAAGGCTGAGGAGACAGTGGGGCAGTGGTCAATCCTGTTTTACGGCCCTTAGTACTCATACCCTCCTCAGTCCCACTCAGTGTTCCCCTGGTGGCACGGGCTCCACCTCAATCCATTGCCTAAGATCTGACCCAAGTGGGAAGGACCCTGTGCTGGGGAACTGGTGCTCAGGGACCCCTGCCCAAGACTTGCCTCTTACCTTGTCTTCAGCTCCATCCACTGCTGGCCAAGGTTCTCTAGTCGAGACAAACGGAGGCAGAGGCCCCGGGCCGGGAGCCCTGAGGCAGTGTCTAGCACATGAGTGGTCAGTGGGCTGTTCTCCATAGCCATGTCACCAGCCTAGGCAGACAGGGGCAGAGTGCACAGGGCCAATTATGCCCTACATTCAGCTGTGATGAGAGTAAACAGATCTACTGCCCAGGGGCAGGCTGACAGCAAGGATGGCTGGAATTGCTGAGTTGCATGAGGAGGAGCTAAGTGCTTTACAAAGCTGACCTGTGTCTCTCTATTGCCCCGGGCGAACCACCGCCCCCCCTCGCGCCCCCTAACCCCTACCACGCGCTAGCTCTTCAGTTGCAGCTGACCAATGGCCTTGCTTTCCCCAAACCCAGCTCTCCTGCACCTCTGGTTCCTGGGTCTTCTGGAGCAAACACCGACCCCACCACCCCCGGGTCCAGGCCTACGCCTTACCTGCGCCCAACCCAGGTGTCGTTGGAGCGTCAGCAGCCGCGGGGCGGTCCTGGACCTCCCTCCTATCCTGCCCTGGAGCTCCGGTCGGTCGGTGGACGCCCAGGGGCCGGCGGCGCGGGCAGAGGTCACCCGGTCTGCCCAAAAAGCTGCTCCGGTCGGCTCAGCCCGGTTCCCCCTTGAGGCTCCGCCCCACCGTCCCGGGCCACTTACGTGAACACTACTGGGGAAGCCATGCTCAATCCCATTCGGCGTCCCCTAGCGGTGCGCTCCTTTAGGAGCCATCACGAGTGGGGCGTGCCTGTAAAGACCCGGTGACGTAGGGCCAAGGGCGGAACCTGTGGGGCGGGTCCCGAGGAGAGGGGCGGGGCCTTGAGGGGGCGGGGCTTGGAGGCCTCAGGCAAAGGTTGGCGTCAGCCGGAAACAGCTGGTGAAATAACTGAACTGTGAAAACGCTGACACTGGAGGAATTCGATCCCTGGGAATCAGAGAGCCCGAGCTGCTCTTAGGGAGGGTCCTGAAAATGCATCTTGAGCCCTTCTCTCTTCTCTGTGCTCTGTTCTAAGCAGGGCAGGGTATCACAGAACCAGTCTTCAGCTGACTCAGGTTTTGGATGGGGTAGGTGGTTCAAGAAACACTGAGATGAATTTCTAGGGAATAGGGAGTTTGTTAGACATGGACAGACTGAGGGGCAACGGGCATGATGGGAGCTCCAAGGAGCGTTCAGGCCCCAGCACCAGAGACAGCATGGCAGGATCTCTGAAGAGAATTGTTACAGGGCGGAGTTCGCAAAAAAAAAATCACCAACACCACTTTAAGAAAAGTAGCAAGGTAAATTTTAGTTTTCAACCGGCCGGGCTGTCTATCTCGGGAGTAGAAGCAGCCCTGAATGTTGATTGGTTATAAAGTTTTTATAGGATTACAGTAAGCACAGCATAAGCAAAATCTGCATTCACCAGTCAGGGTTATACAACATAACAGAATGCTAATTTTAGTAATTAGCAACCAATCATTATGCAGACAAGTGATTTAGTCACATAACTTTGCATCCAACTTTGTGACCTTAAAACCAGCCAACTATTTTAGCCATAATAAGTATAATAAGACGGTCAAGGTAAACAACTTCTAGGTGGTCATACAATAACAGGATAACAAGGGTGGTTTTATGCCCTGTGTCAAGGTGACCCAAAATAGCAAGCGGATTACACAAGCGAAAACAAGCTGGTTAGCCAGATGTATAATGTCTGGAATTAGCACATTCCATGGTTCATGGCGAGGACAATTTTCCAAGACCCAAGGTTGCCCCCCTTTTCCTTTTGGTATGGAGCAAAGTTGCTGCTGAAATGGCTTCTGAACAAAATGGAGTAACTTAGGTAGGTTTGCTGAGCCAATTCAAGAATCAGAGCCCATGAGGCAGAGGAGGAAGCCTCTTATGGTTTTTGAGGATGGGGAGGTTCACAACAAACATCTGCAGCCCAAGCTCTCTGATTCCCAGGCAGGAAGCAGAAAAGGGAGTGGGGAGCAGGATGTGTGTGTTGAGCCAATGCCCTCTTTGATATTAACTCAGTTCCAGGTGAGAAATCCTGACACCTGATGTCTGTTAACTAGCGACTCACAATGTTCCAATGAGGTGCCTGTCAGTATCTGTGAAATGGGGAAGGCTGCTGCATGAACAGCAGCTCAATTTTAACATATTTTTATAGCTAACACCTACAGAGTCTTGAAGTCCAATGTGCAAGAAGCTATTACACTGCTCAGTTGTGGCCCAGTATGTACTGGCAATCCTTAGACCTGAAGGGTGAGGAAGGGACTGAAACCAACCTCCTAGAGCTTCTGAGATCAGAGAATGTGCTTCCAGCAGTTTCAAGGTCAGATTCAAGATCAGATCCATGGCTGGATTTACGGTCAAGTTTGAAGTCAAGCTCAGGTTCAGGCTCAGATTCTGGCACCCAGAATTTCTAGGGTTGTCTGCTCCTAGAAACTTCTCTGGTGAGGGATGGGTTGCCATAGAACACTGATTAATTATGTTGCTATCATCTTCAGTGGTGCTCAGGTGTTTGTGAAACCTGCAGTTCAGGAGTTTCTGTCATGAGAGGCTCATAGGCAGAATGCTTAGCTGCCACCACCTACAATCCTCTCAGAGTTACCCAAGTTTAGGGCAAGAGTCTTGGCTGCAGAGCTCCAACAATTATATAGCTCTGCCACATATCCAAATATGCCCATTAGGAAGACTAGCAATTGTAAAAGTAACAAAAGAGATTTTAATCAATGAGGCTATGTTGGAAAGTACATATAAAGGGGTTTAATAATCCCAAGTCCATCTTTAGGGGTATTGACATGAAGTTTAGGTTTAAATAGAGGAAGAATTGGTGCAGGGTAAAGGGGTCTGTGGTGGCTTATCTTCATTGTCAAGGTGACTGGATTTGGAAACACCTAGGAAACATACATATAGGTGTGTCTATGACAGTGTTTCCAGAAAGATTTAACTGAGGAGGAAAAATTCAACCCGAATGTGAACAGCACTATACCATGGAGAAAAGTGGAGAAAAGATTGACTACATGTAGAGGGATGGAGTTAGAATCTTAAGTCACCAGTTATTAAAAAAACCCAAAAAACTTAAATGGATTAAATGCAAGACCTTAAACTACAATTGCTGGAAGAAAATGTAGGGAAAGGGCTTCAGAACATTAGATGGGCAAAGACTTTTTGGACAAGATCTCAAAAACACAGGAAATGAAAGCAAAACACACATGGGATTCCATAAAACCAAAAAGCTTCTGCACAGCAAGGAAACTATCAGGAGAGTAAACAGAAAACAAAATGAATGAGAGGAAATATTTTCAGACCGTACATGATAGTTAATATTGTCAACTTGATAAAATATAGGATCATCTAGAAGTCAAGTTTATAGGCTTGCCTGTGGGGGATTAGCTAGATTAGATTAACCTCTGTGTGTGTCTGTGACACATTATCTGATTAGATTAATTGAGATGGAAGACCCACCCTGAATATGGGTGATATCATTCCATGGACTGGGGTCCTGAACTGAATAAAAAGGAGAAAGTGAGCTGAGCATTAGCATTCATCTGTCTCTGCTTCCTACTGTGGACACAATGTGACCAACCCCCATGCTTCTGCCACCATGCTTTCTCCACCACAGTGAATTTTCCCTTGAACAGTAAGTCAAGATAAACCTATCTAACC